CACAAGTCGACATGTGACATATAAAACCATAAAAATTAAAAATTGCGTTACCACACAGTCAAAACTAGCACCCGAGACCAATTTACTGGCGAAATTGAGTTCGCCATTTTGTTGTTGTAAGCTGTATGGCGTGTATCTAAGGGGAGCATTCCAAGGCTCCCCTTCGGCACGAGCGAAGACATGGCGGCGGCCCGTCGTCCCGCTTGGAATCGACTAAAATAAAGCATCGCGTGAGCGGCAGAAATTCACTAAAAAAAGGAACGAGCAACGCGTGTAAGTTTTGTTTTTGTTTCTGTGCGTTTTTTTTTTTTCAACTACAACTAATGGAATGGAACCACCTGTCACAATCAAATGACCGAGTTTCAATATGTGTTAGCGAAAACGTAGTGCGGTTGCTTTGCAGCTGACGTTCAAATTACGTGTAGTTTTGTTGTCATGTACAAACAAGTAATTAAATTTCTTATTGTTCAAGCCCAAGTTATTCCAGATCACACTTTTATATTTTATTTTGAGAGAACGTTTAGAAGTCTGGATTTCTTAATGAATTGCGTTCTTCTTTTGCAGGCGGCTAAGCCGAACTACGGCGTCACGCTTGTTCGGCCAGTTCTGCTTGTGCGAGAACCAGGTGCGTTTTGTTTTATGTATGATTCTTCAGAAGTCCTTCGCTATCTGGGTACGAAGCGATTTATAACGGCCTACAAAAAAAAATATATCAACGTAACTATTTTCGGGAAATATCGTTTCAATGTTTTCCCAAGTATCAGGGCCTCGCTACCTTGCCTCACTGCACGTATTTTCATTTATGATTACGCTTCTATGGCATTGCAACCACGACCGCACCTCTTGTGGACCCAAGAGGTGCGGTCGTGGTTGCAATATCATAGAAGCGTAATCATAAATGAAGATACGTGCAGTGAGGCAAGGTGGCGAGGCAAGGTAGTGAGGCAACGTAGCAACATTGAAACGATGCTGCGAAGGGTGCGTCTCAATCGCACAATTTTACCAGCAGCTCTGGAAGGATATACACAAAAATATGCATCGTCCGATTGTGAACTGAAAAGTTATACCCGCATATTTTCTTTCTTTTTCCGAATGTATCACGTAATTATAATTGGCGTTTCCGTGTTCTAGAGAGGGGAGAGGGGCGTTATTTCTGAAAATTCGAAGAGTATTTTTCCGGTGTTTATTTCTAACACATGTGTGCTGTTTTTATCGGCATTTCTTTTCGGTGTCAAACTGAAAAATCTGCCTTTATCGGGCATATGCCGAAAGGAAACAAGACACCAGGCATAGAAGTCCCAATCCTCTGCAGGAACTATGCGCGAGACCCGAATACTTCTAAAACGTCCTGGTACCAATAGAATCAGAAAGCGGGACAAAGGTTTGGTTCCCAAAGAAATGAGTAGCATCAGGGGACAGTTCAGCGCGGGCTGTGCACTAGATAAACATATTATTGCCGCGTGCATGGCCGAGAGGAAACGCTTCTCTATACATCTAGAAGATCCGCGTTTTCTCTTGCCCCAAATGTTCGCCGCCCGAAGATTCTAGGCTGAACAATAGAGATACCGAGGGTAATAGAGAAGCAGACCAGCATGGACCTTGGCAACTCACTCTCGCTCTAGCCGGCTCTCACGCCGACACTGCGACGCTCGCTGCTTTCTTGACGACGGTGCTTTCTCGAGCTCGTTCTTCCTTTTGTTTCTGGCACAACTTTGCCGATTAAAACTTCATTCTCAGTTTTGCGCCTGTCTATCCTTTTACGTCCGCGTCAATCTAAAGTCGTAGATAAATCGAGATCGTTCTTCCCTTGAAGCATGCGTTTTTCTTATCGAAGGACATGCTCCGATTAGGGAATTTTTGAGTTTTTCTATATTTGGGACAAAATCAACTCAGGGTTAATTTTCGGTGTTTTTTTTTTCTTTTTCGGTGTTTATTTGTATACAAAACAAAAAAGAGCAATACTTATAATTCGCTTTCTTCCAGAGTACCTGTTGCTACAGTGCCACAACAGATAAGTCTAATCAGGGGGAAATTAATGTGTTCCTGGCAATCACCGCCAATCACCTTAGGAAGAGGCTAGACGACTTCGCTAACTCATCGCATTCAACAGCGAAGCACAAGAGTAAGTCGCGGAGCGTCAGGTCTTTTTCACGCATTGGTGTTGCAGTGTTATCGACTCCGTAGCAACTGCGTCTCACCGATTACGACAAAAAACGCACGGCCGTTATCGATCGAGTTGCCTTGGAATACACTCATTCTGTCGCCATGTGCTTGAAATAAGGTGGACTCTTATCAGCTACCATTTTTCATAGTCAGTGTGTAAATTTGATCTTGCATACACTAAGAAACTCACAGCACAGTTGTAAGCAGATTGAAATTGTTCCAATGATACCTGATAGGTTGCGCCAGCGTGCCAGTGTGTTATCTCGTCTTGAGCGGTTACAAGTGATTGCAAAACAGTGGATCACACTCAAACGTAAATGCGTGGACTAACCTTCACGCCAAACTTCATTGTCAAACCTGTCTAGGCAAGTTTTCATGTTTCATATTTATGACTGAACAAAATTTAGCTTGATTTTTAATGAGTTCATTTCGCTGTTAGCCTCTGAACGAGACGTTGACACTGTGAGTCGATCAAATATATATACTTGCGAGATTATTGTTTGGAAAGCAATCAGGCTCGATTTTCAAATGTGTCTGATGTCAACCCAAGACGCATAAGCATAATTTTAAAGAATCGAGCCAGCGAATGCATCTTAAGATTGGTAAATATCCTCATCAGGAAAAAATGGGTAATCTTTTAATGTACCTTAAAAAACTGATATAAAAAAGTCCTGTAATTGCTTAGATGGGACACATATTGTTTGTGTAAATATTTCCAGGAAAAAAACATTTTTTAGCAATATTTACGTTGTTAGACTCAATTTAGGTGGGGACAGCCCTACTCTAGGTCCCGCCCGGTGCTTACAAAACTAAGCATCTTTTCTCGTCTCTGATTTGTTGAAGAGATTATTGACGTGTGAAATGTCGCAAAAGTTGTACCTCCGTATCATAAGAGTGTATATATTAATCGTCAATACCTTTATGTTTAAGAAACAAATAATATAAATAGAGTCATTATTGTTTTTTTTTTCTTTTTTATATATATATATATATATATATCCCGAGATTGTTTTTCCGCTTTGGTTTCAAACGATAACAGACATGGCTGCCGGCGTTCGCGGAGTGATCACCGAGCGCGGCTCGTCGAGCTCGTATATTTTAATGAGTCCGAGTCGCTTTACGTTCACCGAGGTGTTTAGATGAAGATCTCCTCAACCGACCTAGTTTACAGCGAACAACTGTCGCAAGTACGTGGCTTTGGAGATGTGCGGGTGCTTGTTTTCGTATCGGGACTGACCTATGCCTAGCGTCCCACATCAACCTATTTTTCCTGATATGGCTTGATTTCTTCGTTTGCGCGTGTTGGTGGCGAATAAATATGTCGGTCCCCGTAAAAGTGGCCCCGCTGCTCTGTCAATCGTGCGACCGTAGTGATTACAACCATGATTTCAATATCGAGAAGATACCTACAGAGGTGAAAATTTGCGAGCAATTTAGCTGGAGGGAATCGGGCGTTCGGCTCGCATCAAGTTTGTCTAGGTCTGTTCCCGTCTCTTAACTTCGAAAAAAAAATAGCTCTCAAGTTTTGCAGTGCATCTGGCTTGCCAATGCGAATATTTTTAGGTCGCGTTTTAGTTGTGCATCATGACGCTCACCCATCTTGCTCGCGGATGCAATGCGAAAAAATAGCAAGAACAGAAAACTAAAAAAAACTACATATTTATTTTGTAGATTTTTTTGTCCTCTCGGCCGCACATCGACAGACGCCGACAGATGCTTGTATTGAAGTGTGAGGAAAGATGTTCTTTCTTCGAGATTGCGCCGGGACCCGACGACGGAGGCAGCTGATGGTCGCTGACGGAAGAATAAACCAGACAGGACTTCGAATGTCTTGCAAAAGGTTACAGCACGTGCTGTCCTCGTCTTCTTCTCTTCTCAAAACGTCCCCTGCCCCAGCTCGCACGAGCGTCGCCAGTTCACCCACACACAGGGGCACACGTGCAAACGCCAACACGCAATGAAAAAAAAAAAGAAGCTCGGTCCTGTTCCCGCGTCCACTCACGGTGATGGCGGGGCCGATTCTCACACCTCCCGACTAAGTATATTTTTTAGACCGGAAATATCAAAAATAATATATAACAACTAAACTCAAACGCGTACGCGTATCAGTCACACTTTGCACAGAGTTAGTGACTCAACCCATAAGAATCCAAACTATAGAAGAAATTTACACCAAATGCAAATTCCATGCTAGTAAAGTGATTCTTACTGTGCCCGCCACGGCTCCAAAGGAGTGACAAATGTCGCGCTAAAACTAGCGTAGCATCTAGCCTCCTAGCCTCGGTCTCTTTGCTGACAGGTTATTCAAGCCATCCAGATATCGAGGGGGCTTGAATCGGATGTTGCATAGCCGGTTCCGGAACATCCCCGCGCAAGAGCGACGACAGTTTATGCTCTGTCCCGACTTACGAATCGGGAATGCGCCTCGCAGGCGGTCGTCGTTGTTGATGTCTTCTGCAATCTCAGCTCTCTCACACGTGGCCGGCTGGTAGGAGGTCGAGTTTTCATCGGTGTCCTTAGCTATTATCTGGGACGACTTCATCTCGAAGACCGCGTCCTCGTCGCTGTCCCCGCTTCCCCTGACATCTTCACCGGCCCGCTGTGTCGTCAGCCGCTCTAACAAGTTGTCCGACTTCTTGTCAACGCCCACGTCCTTGCCGTGGTCGTCATCAGCTTGCCAGAACGTCTGCCACCAAAGCAAAATATCCGGTTTTTTTTTTTCGTCGTCGACGTTCACGTTCTCGTCATGGTCATCCCGCCGCCCAGGCGATAAGTTCGGTCCTTCGCCGTCGTCCACGTTCTCGCCGTCGTCGTCCTCGGCTTGCCGGAACGCCCACCTTCCAGGAGAAACTCTAGGTTCTTCCTTGCAACCGACGCCCATGTTCTCAACTTGGTCGTCATTGGCTTGCCGGAACTTGTGCAACCCAGGTAAGATGTCGGGACCGGCCTTGACGTTGTCGAAGTTCACACATGGGTCGTCCTCAGATTGCCGGGACGCCTGCCGCCCAGGCAAAGTGTACGGCCTTTCGTCGTCGACGTTGACCTGCTTGTCGTGGTCGTCCTGGGCTCGCTGGGACGTCCTCCAGGTACGCGAGACGTTCAGCTCATTTCTGTCGTCAACATGCGCCTGCACAGACACGCAGCTGCGATTGTTCTTTGACGACCGCTTCGTGTCGTCGGCTTGTAACAGAATCTGAGGCGCCTCACGGACCGATGGGTGCAGCCTCTTCTGGCTTTGGAGGTTCAAGTTGCTACCGTCGCTCTTGCCCACATCGGTCGTCACCTTGTCGGGCTCACGGCTGGAGTCTTGCTCCACAGTGACATTCTTGGCGTCTACTCTTTTCTCGTGAAACTGAAGTTCTTCGTCTGGTGTCTTCGTCCGGGGACATTCGCGGGAAAGGTGCCCCAATTCCTTGCATTTAAAACACTTCACCCAATAATATTCAGGTAAAATGCCCTGCCTTGGGTTCTCGTGTTTTTCCTTGAGAGAAGTGGTGGTTTCAATAAAGGGCCTCAAGATCTCAGCTCGCGACACTCCAAGCTCTAACAAGACCGACTCTTTGACCGCACCATACCCACTTCTCTCACCCATGTTCAGCCTATTCACTAGTGCACGCAAGCTCTCTGTGAAATAAGGTCGCACAAGATATCCTCTGAGCCGCTCAGGGACTTCATATGTCTTGAAGACGTTTTCTACGCCATCAAACCAGCTCGGAACTAATAAGTCGGACGACGTCATGGGAGTCAGCACTCTCTTCATCAATCTCGAAAAGCGAAAAACTTCATCTCGGAGGTTGAACTCCATGCCGCCTCCACTGGCTCGCCTTCGGTTTTCTGGGCGTATATGTTCTAGTTCTAGCTCGAGGCGTAACAGCCGTTCTTTCTCCCTCACTAGTTCTATCTCCTTTTCAATTAAGCTGTCTGATCGGAATCCTCCGTTCCCTTCCCCTTGTGTCTGCGAGTTTGCCCTTAATCCACTCGAAGGTGACGATTCACCTGGCCCGTCAACATTCTATTCCGACCCCTATTCTGCTCGGGCGTTAGAACCGGCATTCGCCGCTCTGCACTGTCTGTATCCATGGCGGGCACACGTCAAAGAATCACCTTACCGTAAGGTCAACGACTGCCGCTGGATCACAGACGGAGGCCGCTGCTCAGAATAGTCAGGCACGAAAATGATGTCCGAGCTGTAGACTCGGGCGTTCCTCGCTGGAGTGGAACGGCATCTGGTCCGAGGTAGCTCTGTCACCACGAAGTAGCTCGGTGGTCCAATCTTCAAGGAGCTCGGTGGTCCAGTCTTCTCTTTAGAAGGCTCCACCAGTGCCGCGTCAAGTCGCTGTCCGCCGATTCCGTTGTGAAGATCACGCCGCCGGGGTCCGCTGACGCAATCCTGTCGACTGCGCCAGTAAAGATGTTCTTTCTTCGAGATTGCGCCGGGACCCGACGACGGAGGCAGCTGATGGTCGCTGACGGAAGAATAAACCAGACAGGACTCCGCGGGTATGGGGAAGAAAAAAAAAAACACGTGTATTTACAAGTGAAGCTAATTTTCGAATGTCTTGCAAAAGGTTACAGCACGTGCTGTCCTCGTCTTCTTCTCTTCTCAAAACGTCCCCTGCCCCAGCTCGCACGAGCGTCGCCAGTTCACCCACACACAGGGGCACACGTGCAAACGCCAACACGCAATGGAAAGAAAAGAAAAGCTCGGTCCTGTTCCCGCGTCCACTCACGGTGATGGCGGGGCCGATTCTCACAGTGTGGCTCGTGCATGATAGAACGATAGAACGCCGCTTCCTTGGTCGCGTCTTGCGAGCGTTGGAGAAGTTTTTAGACGGGATGGAATAGCAGACGGGCGAAGGGAGAAAGCGGACGCCGACGCGGAGCTTTCATGTCCACGTCTGGGCATAGCAGACGACGATAGACGGTGGCGTAATAGCAGACGATGGCGGAGGCTGCTGTGCGTCTGCTCGCACGACTAGCCGGCGTGCGAGCAGACGCACACTAGACGCACCGGATGTCGCGAAATATAGACAGTATGCTTCAGAGCGTGACCGGCCGAGCAGCCAAGCCAATCCAATAGTAATGGGCGGGTCCACTGATCTGTGAGCGGGGCTTAGAACGGTCCGTGACCTCCACCTAAATTGCGTTTAATGGCGTAAATATTGCACCAACAAAATTATTGTTCTTCGTGAAAAAATTATGAAAACAATAGTGTGCCCTTTAAAAAACCTTGTATTCATTTCAGTTTTTTTTTGTTCGTTTGTTTGTTTGTTTAAGCCGAAGTCTTGAATTTAGCTTTAGCGACGTTGAAACGCAAAGACCGATTGTGAGTTACAGATGTAGTTATCGTAAAATATATCTGTTGGGAAGTGACGATGCGGCAGCAGAGTAATTGCTGACAGTGACGCGATAGCACGAGCATTGTCAGCACCGCCCGCACGTGTCGGTGTCCCCCTCCCCTACCTCCCCCCCCCCCCTCATTTCTGCTCTCTTCTTTTAGTCAAACCTTCACTTCTGGCAATAAACCTTCAGTTGTCATCGTGCTGCTACACGGGCCGCTCGTGTCCACTTAATAGCATTATCCGTATCAGTAAATAAAGAGTAGTATTTTAACCAATATACATATATCCATATTAAAATAGCTAAATATTTTTACCCAAAAAAGAATAGGTCATCTTTGGTTCAAAACTAAACATACGGGACGAAAATATACTGATCTTTTCTTGCGGCTTGATAATCTGGAAGTTTAAACAATCTGTAAAGCTTAGGAGACTCTTTGTAATAAGAGACACCCTGGCAAGGCAGACAGTTATAAAGGGCATCCACTATAACATATTAAAATGATGGATTATGTTCTCAGCCTCAGAGGGGAGAACATCACACAAGTTTACGAAATACGAATAGTTCTTCATGCCAAGAAAAATGAAAAGGTATCAAGAATTAAAAGTCAAAATTATCTACACCGTGCAATTAAAAAAAAAAAAAGCTCGCAAACATTTTTAAAGGTGGAAAAATCGGATGGCTCCAATTCATATCTTACTTTTTAAATTGCACTTAAAAAAATCCCGAATTTAGTAAACCCAGAGATGGTAGGATCGTGTTATTTAACATGGTGCCACAAACAAGCACTAAAGCTTTTTTAAAAGCTACTAGCTCGAAGAAAATATCTTCGAGAAGATCAGTAACACTGGTTGCACATTTTGGGATGAATAGTAATGAGTAATGATGCGTAATTTTATGGTGCTTAACTACGATGCGTAGCACTGGTTACGCACCCTAGTGTTATGCCTCACAATATACTTATAGGACAGAAATCTAGCAAAATCTAGACTCATTAGTTATACACTTCATTGAATGTGGCCCAAATCCTTCTGCAATCAGCAGCACGCCGTATAAATTTCACAATAATTTCCTTCAATTCAACCCATGACCAAAAACGCAGATTGCACGGGGACGCAATAAAAACGTGCTGTTTCAAATTTAAGAAAAATAATTCCACCGGAAAAAAACAAAAGTTGAATTAACGTTTCCAGTTGTTTATTCCGTAAAAGACGATCACGATGTTAAAATATTATAACCACTTTTGCAGGCAGCGCGGTCATGGGCGCTGGAAACAACACCCACTCCGAAAGGGTAAGATAACACAATTTCTTTGAACCTGCCTCTACCACAGAAAGAAATGCTGCTCCATGAGTGCCTGCACACTAAAACTGCTATTAACACCCCAAAGGTGTTAGTAGCGTGCTGGTGAACTATCCAAAAATAAGACGTTGCCAATCTTAGCAGTTTAACAACAGGATTGTCTCAAGATAGCAAGCAGCCGACGCTACTCAAAAACTGCCGTTACATTTCTGTATGGAAGAGTTTGAGGCTTTACTATTTGATCTACTTGTTCTTGCAAGGCTCGGTCACGCGTGAGTCGGTACACGACCTCGGACAAGGACGGCGCCGTACGGTTCAACGACGATGAGACATGCAAGATGAGCATCATCCTGGTGGTTCTTTGGGAACAGTTTCTGGACGCTGTCCTTGGCAAAGACACGTTGGCCTGTATCCTCTACGAACCGCTGCAGATAGCGCGTATGCGGCGCATGTGCGAGGCCTACGTCATCATCAGCAAAGAACCTTCCGCTGCCCTCTACGATCCTGCCATCGGGTAAAGCCATTTCGCGAGAATCTATTAGCGCCGAGATGTTTCGGTGGCACCCTCTTATGGTTTCCATCCTTGACGTCACGACTGGGATTTGCTTCGCCGTGACGTCACCAGTGTTTATCCTGGCTACTTACCATCAGGTGCGACGACGAGTTCGGTGGTGTGTTTAAAAAGCCCAGAGGAAGCTAGGAGCCATCGCAATCCGAAACTAACCCCGTCAAAGTTGGCAACCTGGCAATGCTCATATGCCCATGGTTTGGCCAATCGTGGAAAGCTGACCGCAGCGACGCTTTTGGTCGCGCACATCGCTAATAGACCACTCCGGAAGTGTGTGGCGTCTCCGCCGCCTGCTTGACGCATATTGACAATCGAATGTATCCTTAACTTCCAACTATGGTGGTACCGCGGTGTGACAATCACGTGCCCTTCGAGGGTGGCAGACTTCAACATAAAGAATGTCGCAAGCGTTTCTCTCAGATGAAATAATAGTGCTAAGGTTTTAAGGACGCCCATATTTTCCAAACTTTGGATTACTTGGGCATCCCTAACCTGGCCGCATTTCGCCGTTCCGCGTTGATCATCCACCAAAACAACCATTTTGATAGGTGCCGACGCGACCCCTTTGGGCCGTGAAAGTTGCGGATTCCACGTGAAAGATTATCAAAGAAAAAAATAAGACAAAGTTTAACGTTTTGTCGATCCGAACGAAAAAATTAAAACAAGACAAAAGGAAAGCAATTTAGTTTCTGATTACCTTGTTTTGGAGTTTGCTTTATTTTGTGTGTTCCGAACTCGTAACAATCAAAAAAAGATTGTGCGCTTTTGTGGGGTATGCGAAGCGTCCCAGTCGGCCCGAGCACATTGAAACAGCTCCACCATACTCCTTGCAGCGTAGTGCGATGCGGGACATTGTCGCGAGGTCTCCTGAAATTTCCCCAAAAAACGTCTATTGGTGATGAGATTGGACCGCAGAACGCTCGCAGCTGCGGTGAACAGTGAGAATATGCGTCGTTTTATCATTAATTCGAGCGCCGTCGAAAGCTTGAACAGATACGAACACCAACACGCATACTAAGAACAGAAGTTATCGAGCATTCTTTGCGCTCGATTCGTTTTGCAGATGATGGAACTCAAAGAGAAAGATGACGAATGTCGTGACGCTGCGCTTGTGATGCTGTTTGATTAGTTGCATCGGCTCGTAGCGTTGTATCCTGCCTTCCTTCAAAAGCGCTGACCCCGCGTTCTGGCTTGCGTTGTAGAAGTATAGAGCTTTCAATGAGTGCCCGCTCTTCCAGCGTCCTTTATTTGCTCCCAGTCCATGGTGCGAATGCCCCTTCGTCACATGTGGTTAGAATACCTGAAAAACTACGCATATCTTCGAGAAAAAGTGTATAAACCATAGTGGGTCTCTGAGATTCTGTCTGGGTCATTGGAAGCAGAAAGACTTTTCAGCTTAATGAGAGGCTTTCAAGTCAGTTTAGTTTTTATTATTGGTTAAAGTTCCCCTGAACAAAACACCAAAACAATACTATACAGTGTTAACGTCCATCACAACTGTTTTATTAGGCGCGTTAAATATCCCAGGTTTGTAGTCGTAATGCCCTGGTCATATTGTCCACCCAAAGCAGATTTCTTAAAGGTATACGGAAACAAAAGTTCCAGCGCTCATTTTTTAGCTTTAATGCGTTCCATGTTGCAGCATGTGGGAGCCACTGGTTTCCCTCCCCCGAGAAGGCGTAAGCCGCGGACGTGCCGGCCGGAGTTGTCTGGCTTCGAGTTGGCTCGTCCCGTATCGTGTTGGAGAGGGTGCGCCACGTTGCTGGCCTACTCTCTCGCACTCCTCCGCGCGTCTCCCCGATTTCGGGGGAACAGCGACATCGCGCGGGAGAGAGTCGGGCCTGCCCTCCGAGTGGACGGCCGTCTGGCCGCCCTAGTAAAAAAAATCATTTGTATGAGAAATTTCTTGTGTCCAATAAACACATATGAATCATACAAGATATATAAGAACATACAAGAACATATAAGAATTATATGAGAACTATATAAGAATTATATAAGATATATAAGAACCCCATAAGAAACTTATAAGAAAGTTCCCACTAGTTTCTCATATGGTGCTTGTGTGTCCTCATATATCTTATATAGTTCTTATATAGTTCTTATATGGTTCTTATACGGTTCTTATATGTTCTTATATATCTTCTATGATTCATATGTGTTTATTGGACACAAGAAATTTCTTATACAAATGAGAATTTTCAGTAGGGCGGGGAGTCCTGGATCGGACTCCGGGCAACGGGTCGAGTCGCGGCGCGAGCTCGTCCGACCGGCGATGACTCCACGCTAGTGATTCCCCGGGCTCTGAGAGTCGGCGTCCGCACTACCTGTGGACGTCCGTCTGCCGAGAGCCCTGGCCCCGAACTCCTGCGACGACGGGTAGCGGCGTGAGCTCGCCCGACCGGCGCTGACTCCGCTCGCAATTACCCCTTTGGCTCTCAGGTCGGCGGGCGATGCGGGCACACTGTGCCCGCGGCGGCTCGCTTGACCGCAGTGTCTTGTTGGGGACCCCTGGTACTCAATAAACGCTGCTGGATACCGGCACCTATCGTTGTTGGCATGGCGTTGGCCGAACCCGGCGCGGCGACCGCCCTCGCTGGTAGCCGTCGGCCGCGCGGTGGGGCGGGCATCGGATTTCCCCTTTGAGCACCGGACCGATCTCCAGACGTAAAGGTGCGTGATCCTCCCTCCCTTTTATTCCCACAAAATGGCGCCCAACGTGGGGCCATGGCACCTATTGTCGTGGCACTGCTGCGCCGCGCCATGCCAAGATGGCGGAGCCTCCCTGAGGAGGCCGGCTCCCTTTGTGTGCCGCCATGATGCGAATCCCGTGGGTGCCCGGATTTGGTAACCACATTCAAGAGCCAGCCCAGAAACCTGAGTGAGTCACGATTTGTTCATTCTTTTTTCGTGTCTTGCCGCAGGAGACGTTTTATCGTACCTGTCGCCTCTGGTGATGGGCGTCGCTAGCAACAGTCCCCCCACTGCCTGACAGTTGCCAACTCCGCTGCCAACCCCCACCTAGTTAGAGGGTCGTCACCTCTGGCGGCGTCCTCAGAGCCTCCGTGCCACGGAAATCACGTTGCATTGACCCCCGTGGGCCTAGCGACGAATGTTGTTAGCAGCAAAGAGCTTCTCACGGGTCAGCGGGAAAATCTGGGTTTGTAAATACGCACGTTTCTTTGACACTGAGTTGTCGGACTCTCCGGGAGAGTCGGGCGGTGCGTCTGCCATTAACGTCGCCAAGTAGCTCGTAATGCTACCGACGGGCTCCGGGAGCCGTAGGCCACGCATCCGCCGGCGTCCAGAAGCAGTTCTCACACTGTGGA